TCAATAAAATTGATATTGTTGACTAATGGGCGTTTGCACCACCCATTTTAGAATGGTGGGTGCAAACGGCCATAGTGTACAAAATATAAAATAGTCTGATGACTGACGAGTGTGTGACCTTTTTTAAAACTGTATCAATAACCATTCTCACAGATATAGCGTAGGAATAAAGAGTGCCATCCCATCAGACTTATGCCTATCTACTTAAACTAATAAACCTTATAATTTTTTTCATTGCCTCACTTTGGGCAATCAAAATGACTGCACTAAACAGGCCCTATCTCAGGGTCTATTTGTACAGTTTTAAAAAAGATGAGACTATTCTATGTTTTTTACGCTTAGTCAATATTATCAATTTTACTGAACTCCATTCCTACGGTAAACTAAAAACAATGAATAATGCCCATTGAAACAGCATTTGAACTTGAAACCCGCTTGCAGTCGGCATTTACCATCTACACCGGGGCCCTGGTACAAAATGAACACCTGGTATAACATTCTGGATCCAAAACTATAGTAGGTATTCTTAGGTTTACTTTTGATAACAACATATTGAAAATAGGGCAAAATCTAGCCGTTAGTTTTTGTATCCTACACAATTGATCGAATTTAGTTATTTGCGACTTTTTCTAAATTGACATTTTTTTGCCGCCACCATTTTGTGTAAGACGATGTAGGAACTTTTATACCACATTTTAAGAAGACACCAAAACGCTCAAAACTTAGAGTAAAAACTTTCAATTTAAATGTACTTATCGAGGAAATATAAACAAATATGTTGAAAAAAAATCAATATCTCGAAGTCTAAAAAAGCCAATTTTGACAACCCGTAACTCAAAAACTGATCATAGGATTGAGTTGTGCCCATGAGAACTTTTAATCAGGACATCGAGAACTACATCATCTCAATTTTTCAAAAAATTTAGCCGAAAGCCATTTTCCATAAGAAATGTGCGAGGTTTTTTAGTGGCAATTCAACTTCAAAAAATATGCATTACCTACGACAAGCCTATTTACGTGGGAATGTGTGTATTAGATATTTCAAAAACTGTAATGTATGATTTTTACTATGGGCATTTAAAAAAAATATATGATAACAATATTTCTTTGTTATATACTGACACGGATAGCTTGATATTGGAGATTCAGACCGATAACTTTTACGAAGATATGAAACAAAGTTTGGTAAAGTTTGATACATCCAATTATTCCACGCCTAATATGCATAATATGCCTATTACTGACTCAGTAGTTGGTAAATTTAAAGATGAATATTGTGGGATTCCCATTGAAAGCTTTTATGGAACCGGAAGTAAGGCCTACTGCGTAAAAACTAAAAATAGCTTAGATAAAAAGGCAAAAGGCAAAAGGCATATCCAAATCGACTATAAAAAAAAATTAGATCTATCCCTTTATAAAAATGTAGTTGAAAAGAATGATAAGATTTATGTTACAATGTATGTTTTTAAATCTGATATGCATAATATATATACAAATTTAATAAGTAAAATTGCATTGAGCAGCCATGATGATAAACGATATCTACTTTCAAGTACTACAAAAACGTTGGCGTGGGGCCACCGAGATATTTCCGCAATTGAGAGTATGGTAAATACACGGAAAGCACTACTTATGGAGAATGAAGGTGAAACAAAAAATAAAAAGCCCCGCTTAACGCCCTCCGTCAGCTTTTGAAAATATAAATGAAATATTTGCTTTTTTTCTTTTATTAAACATTTCTACCATGTGCGCAGAAGACGATAACATGGTGATTATGAAAGATTCAGTTCCCGGAGATTACTTTACCTATAAAAATTTCGAACAACGATTATTAAATTTCAAAAATTGGAAAGGCAAATTAAGCCCTGTGCAATTGGCAAAGGCTGGATTTTATTATACTCAAGTTTCGGATATTTGTCAGTGCCCCTATTGTAAAATCCAAGCATACAACTGGGAAGTCAATGATTCACCATTGGAAAAACACTTGATATATTGCAAAAACTGCCCCTATGCTCAATGTGTAAGTGAATCCCTAAGATTGAAGAATATTCAAGATAAAAATGTGGAAACCGCAGTGAAATTTGAAAAACACATTATTATCTGTTTCTTCGCAGTTCTGGCATTGAACTTGTGTTATTTATTGACTTAAAGGGATGACAATCAACATAGTTCAAACTAGTATATAAATCATCATTCAAATAGATTAGTGTTAGTATTTTTAGAACAATGATTGTAGCTCCATTAATTGTACTATTTTCCATAATTGGAAATAAAATGTATGTTAACCATATTCCCACTAGTAAAACAGCAAAAATTTGTATTAATAAACACAAAAACGATACTGATTGCTATCAAAATATGGAATTGACATACATTAGCATATATCCATATGTTTACAATTATAATTTAACTGAAAACTGTGCAAGAGAATGTAATTATTTTAAAATTAAATTCTATTTAAACAATAAGGAAACTATTTACTCAAACTGGATTAAATTGAATGAAACAGCAGCATGTACAGATAGCAATTGTAATGGATTTTTAATAGGTTTAGTTTCAACTATATCAATTTGTATTATAATAATATGTACTATATTATTGTTTTAAAAAAATAAAAGCCATTACTAAACATGATTTTAAAAAAAAAAGTTTATTTTATTCCTCCCCACTTTTTTTTTTATAACAGTATCAGGAATATAAAGCGAATGTTTGCTTTTAAAAAACGTTAGTATCTACAAAATGTTTAGCAAAATCAGTGGTACCAGTACGCGTGAATCGAAAAAAGTGGACGATTCGTCGATTATTAGTGCTAAACGATATTATTTAAATAAATCTCAAAGCAAATTTATCAATCTTGGATTATCCGTTGAATATAATTTTGAACCTCATATCCAGATTGGAGGGAAAAATAATCAATCTATATTACTAACTGAAGAAGAATGGAACTCTATTCTACAGTATCAGGGAGTCATAAGCTGTTACAGTTGTTCCTATAACAATTTCAATGAGTCAATATATATTCAAAAAGTTGCTATTTGCTTTGAAAAACTTGACCAAATACCATTAATAAAAATTGTAAAAGGTAATGGTTATATTTACTTAGGCAACGAAAGAGTCTGCAAGCTTTGGGAACTTGCGCCTCTAATTGAATATCGTTTGGATATTTTACGAAAACAAAAGTTCAATACATATTTGAACTTTTTCAAAAGTTCTGGACCCATTGAAGAAGACAACCTGCAAAAAATTCAAGACAGCCTCTGCCTGAAAGACCATCCAAATAGTGAAAATGTCTGTACAATGTTGGAGTGTCTTATCTGTTACCCGAAGCAAATAATTGAACATATGAAAGTGAAACGTGGCCATGAAAAAAGCAGTTTCTTTTGATGAAAGTAGAAACAAAATTCATTTAATGGTTGCATGGAATTTTGCCTACAGGAGATCAAGAATGGTGTCTCAAGAGCTTATCGAAAAGTACCATTTTAACAGAAGAATTGAAAATTGTCAACTTATTTTAGAACCTATCTTGGATAAAATACACAGAGATACTGTCTTCAAAAATAGATTTGTGGTGAAAAATGTTTTGAAAAAAAAAAAACAATATTGATAAAAGTTTTATTTTGCTAATTTGATACATCCTTTCTATTTATCCACGAGTTATGTCTGGAATCCAAACCTAACCATTTTACAAAAACTTTATTTCCTTTTTTTCTTAAAATTTTTTCTACAAGATATGCATCATGATGTTGGACTTTTTGTAATTCTTGTTCGTAAAATCCTCCTAGAATATCTTGGCTGTTTTCATCTTGCATCAAATATGTTGTTGGGTTAGTATTTTTCAATGTTTTTATGCGAAAAATTTCATTAGACCAATTAGGGGTATAGCCCTTGGAAAAAGCTCCTCTATGCTTACTTATGCGTACATAGTCACCCTTTCTGAATTTTGGAAATTTTGGATCGAACGTCTTTGCATGACTAAAAGCCCTCTTTAAAATTTTACCTTCATTTCTTTTATTAACTTTCTTAGGTTCAATATTTATTGTTGAATGTTTTGTGTTGTTATAATTATTAACAATTTCTGGTAAAATATCTAGCCACTTGTAGTTCCCCTGCATACTAAATTTCTTCCACATTTTGTTTTCAAGGTTATATTCACCCTTTCAACAATGCTTGCTTTTACATTAGAAAATGTACTATAGTGATTTATTTTATATTTTTCCATTAACTTGTTAAATTCTTTGCAAAAAAATTCCCTCCCTCTGTCAGTTTGAATATTTTTTGGGGTAGTTTTTAAACTTTTCAAGATTTGCCCCATCGTTGCAGCCACATCTCTTTCGGTTTTAGATTTTACTGGTAGCGCCCAAACATACTTTGAAAACACATTTATTACAACCAAAATATATCTGTTGCCTTTGTTTATTTTAGCATGTGGTTGCATTTCAACCAGGTCGGCCTGTAGTAGATCATTTAGATGTTTTACTATGACCCGCCTTCTTTTGAAAACCCTTCTTGCCGGCTTATGCAATTCATTTACTATGTCTTCTTTAACACTCATAATTAAATAACTAAGTTTCCACTTGAACCTGACATTTTATTAATAATTCACCGTAGAATTCAGTTATAGAACTATTTTCAACACGTCGAAATGCTATCAAATCATTTTTTTTAATCTCTCCCTCTAATTTACCAGTTTTTCCGTTAATCAATAAACTCACATCTTTTTTAGGATATTCACCGCTTAATATAGTACCCGACTCAAATGGATATCTATATGAAGTTATTAAACCATCTCCTAATAACAACAAATTCTTTTCGGCTGGATTGTCTCTACCAACAAATGGTAAAACTACAACGTAAAACAATTTTACGTCTGCGATGTTAACAATTTTGAGTGATTTAGTGTCGCCATCCTCACATTTATCAAAAATGTGTGTACCAAATTTATTGACCGTCATATTTCTCTTCAAACAAAAGACTGATCCTTTCACGCCATCTTTCACTATTTATAGTATAACTTTAGCTTCTTTCAACTCTTCTATAATAGATATTATTTCATTTCGATGTCCATTATGACCTGCAGTCTTGGAAGCTAATAGTATTCGAAGACGATTTACTAGCTCATTAACATTATCCCAATATACATAATCTGTACTTTTTTTATTACGTTTCAAAATAAGACCTTTTCCAATTCGAGCGACCCCCGTTTTTTTAGCCGCTCTATAAGGTGCTACAGGTTTTTCAAATACCGGCCTGGGAATGATTGTTTTAGATTTTGTGATTCCTTTTTTATATAAATATGGTCCGATAATAGTAACGTATTTTACTGAACTGTTTCCTTGTACTTGTTCATTGGGATTATTATTCCTGCGGTACGCATTAGTTCGAGTTAATATATCCATGTAATTATCCAAATCGGCTTTTTTATCGCCCACAGGTTCTTTTTTGAATAATAATTCATACAGCCCTGGGGTGCCTGGGTAAAGAATATCAAGTACTTTTATATCTTTATTGATCAAGTTAACAGGAATTTGAGTAGAACCCAAAAAAAAAATTGTTTGTTTCAAGATCGTGGACAATACCATAATTGTGATCAAATTTATGTTCTGTATCTTTTACACTATTGTCAATATACGTTCTGGGTAACTCGTGAAAATCACTCAACCAGTCCAGATAGACTGGATGTCCAACATAGGTTTGTATTGACTGCTTTGTTTGTTCCAAAATGTCAGATAAATTTCTAATTGTTTCAGTCGATGATTGAGGTGAGCTTTCGAATGTCACTTCTTCTCTTATTGGAGGCATCTCTCTTAGTGCAGGCATCTCTCTTATTGAAGCCACCTCCCTCACTGAAGGTAATCGATTTATGGACATATCAAAAAATGACGGTTGTTCAAAAGGTAGAATAGGAGTCTTTCCACTTTTTCGAGTTTTTTCTCTAGTTGGAGTTGAAGTTTTATAGGAAGATTTTGGGGTTGAAAACTCCTCTTCTGGATTAAACTCTTCTTCCTCTTTAAATGTTAGTGGTTCGGCTTTCCCAATATTTGTAATAAAATCTTTAAGTGGTTGTGTAATGGGCCTATACGCTTTCTCCAATTCTAATTGTGCGGTCGAAGAAGCTAACTTGAGCGCTTGGAATTTATCCCTTACTGCTTTTCTTGACTTGACTAATTCTCTTGCTGAGCGTTTATCCATGTTAGTTTTCAATCGTGTTATAAATATATAAATGAATCGAGGTTTTTTCTATATCTACCAGCACGTAAGTCACAATCTTTGTCAATTACCATAAATTTATATGGCTCCTTCCAACAATAAGTGCATATTTCTTTAAACTGATCAAATGACATGTCCATTATGCAGTGGTCATTATATATATGTTTCAAACTTGTCGAATCTTGTTTAAATAATATAATTAAATTTGAATTTTCCCTTATTAATCTTTTGAAAATTGAGGAATATCCTTGAAAAATTAGAAAGCAATCGGTATTTTTATGTCTACCTAGTGTGAAATAATCTCTTATCACACTTTGATTCTGACATGGAATATCATCGAATATAATTATAGAATTTGATTTTATATCATTGGGTGGGACAATACACTCATCATTTTCGTACTCAAAATATCCAATTTCCTTTATAGGTAGTAAGAGTTTTCTCAAGTATGCATATTTAGATTGTGTCAGTGATTTTGAATAAATATATACATTTTCAAATCTAACACCATTTGGATGCTCTAATAGTGTAAGCATCAGATTGGTTTTTCCTGAATTTGAACTTCCAACAATAAGCGCTGTTTTCGAATTTCCACCAAATAAATCACCTTGTTTTCTAAATTGCTGTGAACTCACTTTTTGATCATGATTAACTATGGGGATTGAAAATTTTTGCTTTTCTATTCTCATATTCGAAATAGTACTAAGAAAAAGAAGAGAGAAAAAAAGTATTTATATATAAGTTTCTCCATTTTTTTGTTTTAGTTCCAAATTGATTCTTTTGATGATTACACATTATACGAGAGACAGTAAATTTAAAAAAGGCTCAGGTCTAGTAATTAAGCTTATAAACAAACTTCCTTTTGAAATCCACATTCCTGGGTATAAATTTTGTGGCCCAGGCGCTGACTTGAAAACAAGATAGGCCAGAGAAGACGTCGGTATCAATTCTTTGGATGACGCGTGTCGGGAGCACGACATTGCATATTCTCAATCTGAAGAACTGTCCAAAAGACACGAAGCAGATAAAATTTTAGCCGACAAAGCTTGGAAGCGATTTAAAGCTAAAGACTCCTCTTTCGGTGAAAAAATTGCCGCCATGAGTGTTGCAGGTCTCAGGAAGGGTAAACGCAAATTTGGCATGGGTTTGGGTTCAAAGAAAGGTGGAAAATTGAGAAAAAAACGAATTTTAAAACCTCCTAAAAAAATTGGGGGTTTCCTACCTCTACTATTTCCACTGCTGGGAGCTTTAGGGGCTCTAGGGGGTGGTGCTGCTGGAATTGCTAAAGCTGTCAATGACGCTAAAGCTGACAGAGATCAAATAGAAGAATTACGACGTCATAATAAAGCCATGGAAGTTTCGAAAGGAAAGGGGTCTAAATCCTCTAAAGCAGACCGTTTTCAAGGCAAAGGATTATTTTTAAAACCTTATAAAGGTGGTAAATTAAAAAACCACATAAAAAAAAGTCCAAATGAAATTTCCAGGCAGGGCCCTTACAAATATAGATATACTCAAATTTGTGAAAGATTTGAAAATTCCAAATTTTAGAGGTGTTTTTATGAGAAATGGTCTTCCTAGAAAAATTAAGATAATTGAATGTGGTATAGTTAACTTGGATAATAAAGAAAATGACGGAACACATTGGACCGCCTACATCAAAGAACATAAAAATGTAATTTATTTTGACAGTTTTGGAAATTTAAAACCACCTATCGAACTTGTACCATATTTCAACTCAAATGGTAAAGCTAATATATATTACACATATAAAACTCAACAAAAATTAAATTCATTCAATTGTGGACAATTAGCACTAAAATTTCTGAATAATAATATAAAAAGGAAAGTCTAGGTGCTAAAACTATTTATTACTAAAATGTCTACAACCATTACCATATCTGGGAAAACTTCCATTTTGTCAGCAGATTTTAACCCTCCTATATATTTAGAGGATAAAAAACAATATTATTTAGGATTAGCTGATTTTGAAACTTTTATGACTATTCCGAATATTGATCAAAATAATAACAAGTTGTACATAGATGATAAAATAATCACGATTCCAGAAGGTACCTATGACATTGCTGATATAGAAAAATTTATAAAAATCACAATAAGAAATGTTTTTCAAAATGAAAAATTTGTGTTTTCACTCAAAACAAATACAAACACCTTAAAATGTCAAATATTTTGTAACAAAGAGATTAATTTTTCGAAGGAAGGTTCCGTAGGAAAGCTATTGGGATTTAAAGAAAGAATTATTACTGCTAATGTATTTGATGAATCTGACTATGTGGTCAACATTAGTAAAGTGAACGCTATTTGTGTGGATTGTAATATTTGTGTGGGCTCGTTCAATAATGGTAAACCTGTACACATCATTCATCAATTTTACCCCATAGTGGCCGCAGGGTATAAAATAGTGGAGTCTCCCATACCTATATTGTATTTTCCAATTAGCGTTAAGACAATTAACAACATAAATGTTAAAATAATTGATCAAGACGGAGATCTTATTAATTTTCGCCAAGAGACAATAACAGTTAGACTACATTTGAAATCTGAAGGTGGTCAAAATGGTTATTAGATATAATAGAAAAATTCAACCGCAACCTATCGAGGAAATAAATACTAAAAAAACTTATATAAAGAAAAAAAGTAGAAATCAATCCAGTATAACAAAAAACAGCTTACAACTAACACAACATAATCGCAGATTTTTAGAATCACTGGGACTTAAGGTGTTGATATAATGGATATTTTAAATGTAAATGAAAAGTTATACGTCGACAATTCAATTATTAGCTCAGAGCTACATAGCTATCAACCATTTATTTCATCAAAGTTTGACTATAATGATGAAATACGAATACCCATTCAAGAATTGGATACCTACACTTTACCTTCAGAAAGTTTTCTATATATTGAAGGGACATTAGCAAATACTGAAGGAAAATATACAAAAAGACTTCGATTTATTAATAATGGAATTTCATTTCTCTTTAGAGAAATTCGTTATGAGCTGAATGGAGTTACTATTGATTCAGTGAGAAATGTAGGGTTGGCTTCTACATTGAAGGGATACCTTTCTTTCAATACCAATGAAAGTTTGAAATATGAAAATGCGGGCTGGTTTCCCAATAGAAATGAAGCTGACAGAATTTTGGTTGACGATAATGGAAAATTTTGTGTAACCATACCGCTTAAAATGCTTTTAGGATTTTTTGAAGATTATAAAAAAATAATAATTAATATGAAGCAAGAATTGGTTTTAATTAGAGCTAGCAATGATCTGGATGGAGTTCTGTTTAAAGATGATCTAGAAATTAAAGTAACCACGAACGAAATACCTGCTATCACTTTTGATAAAATATATTGGAAAATACCCCATATTTTAGTAGACATACCTCAACAGCTTGCCCTGACAAAAATACTTGAAACCAATAAAGATATTTTAATAGGGTTTAGGAGTTGGGAAATTGTTGAATATTCTTCCCTACCCGAAACAACTCGCCATACCTGGCCAGTTAAGACAACAAGCAAGCTCGAGTCACCTCGTCATGTTGTTATTGCCTTTCAGGAAAATAGAAAGGGGGAAGTTAATAAAGATATGAGCCAGTTTGATGATGTCGATTTAACAAACATACGAATATTCCTAAATTCTGAGCATTACCCTTACCATGACTTGTATTTGAACATTAAAGAAAATAAATTTTCACCCCTTTATGAAATGTTTGCAAATTTCAGAAATTCGTATTATGGGCTTAATAATGAGCCAATTTTTAATCCTGAAAATTTTAAAAAAATATCACCAATCACACATATTGACTGTTCTCATCAAAAAGAATCTATCCAGACTGGTTCGGTAGTCATGAGAATTGAATTTGAAACCAACAGTAACATTAAGAAGGATACATCAGTTTATTGTCTCATATTACATGATAAAATATTAAGTTACAACCCCCTCAATAAAATTGTTAAACAACTTTAAATAAAACGAGAGTATCTCCTTAATATTTGTCATTATATCTAAGAAGTTTGACAAAAACAAATATTGAAACACATGATAAAACTTGAAAAATTGAAAAAGCAAATAAAAAACTATAGTGCCAAAAAACAAATGTTCAAAAAAATTTCACAATTGAAATTATGAATATAATTTTGGATGTTCAAGGATTTACTATCGAAAATAAAAAGTTTATTGTAAAGGAATTGGCTTGTTATGATGGAAAAAGAATTAGTCACTACATTTTTAAGCCCCCTTTTCCATTTCATTATCTATCGCCAGAACATCATAGACAGGCTACTTGGCTTATTAACAATCATCACTGTATCGACTGGAATGCAGGATTCACACCTCTTTTCAAATGTGCAGATATAATCAAAAATTTATGTTCTCATGCTTCCTACGTCTATGTTAAAGGCTCTGAAAAGGCTGATTATGTTAGAAAATACTCCAACAAACCAGTAATAGAGCTAGATAAACAACCCTCTTTGAAGAAAATGGATTCAAGCTGCTTTTATCACAACAAATCACCATGTATCTGTGCCTTATCAAATGTTTTTTTCTTGTATGATCAGATTTTTATGTAATAAAACTTTACAAAAATTTGTGTTTCTTTTTTTATTCATTTATAATATCATAGTTTTTTTTCAATTATTACAAAAGCCTAAAATTATTGTTTCATTGATTAAATAGGTAAAAATCATTTTAATTAAATAATACAAAAGTTTTCTTAAACTAGTTTTTTCATACATTTGGTTAAATAGTTAGTACAGTTAGTTAATTCTAACCTATTCAATTTCCATAGAAGCATTTCAAAATTTTTATTTATCAAATATTCACGACAGGTTTGTGCTGCTTCTTCACATTGTTGTGCATGCTCCATGTATCTCAAGTATAGTCTCAAATCCTGAGCCTCAGTTTCCTGTCCATCTATGGCATAAAATTCGGAACAAACTTTAGACATTAGAAAGTCTTCACACAATTCCCTCACAATGTCTTCCATATTAAATTAATGCTTCTTCTACAGCCATAAATCTAACTTTTTCTTCTTGTTCCTCGATATATTTAATTACCTCTCTATCTGCAATATCATCCTTCAAATCTGCTATTTGCTCGTCAAATCCTAAGCTCGTCAACTTTTCCAATAGATTGAACAAATTTTTGTTTATTAAATACTCGTTACAAGCACTAGCTGCACCATAATGTTTTTCAGCTAGATTATGATACCAATCCACATATGAAGGTCTACTACGCATACAATTGATATCGTAATACCTTGCACTTTTTTTAAACTCACTAGACAACTTTTCAATAAGCTGATTGAATCGATTGAGGTTAACTGAATCAGACATCGTGTACGAATGAAAAGTCCCCAACTAGGAGCCAATAAATATGGTGTATGGTAGCGGATGAAGGGTAGGAAATTCGCGGTTGACGACTGGTGGTGGACGAATGGTAGGAAAGTGGCGGGTGGGCGGGCGGGGCCGTCTGGTGAAAGTAGGTCAGTGGGAAAGTAGGTCAGCGCCGGAGTCTACCCCCCTATTCCATCTACTAACAAGTGTCAAGCACAAATTTAGTATTCTACAATTATTAGTAATTTATGATTTGAACCTATACCAATAAAAAAAAAATAGTGTAATATCCACTTATACTTTAATATACTATTTTATTAACCGTTAAAACGCATTATGAAAGTTGCAAAATCTCTAAATTACACCAGAAAAAATTGATCTGACAACATTTTTCAGTCACCTTCGAATTTTTCAGGTAATTACATAGGTATTTAATTTAATTCTGTGACTGATTGTCAACAGGATATTCTCATTGTTGATTGTTGCCAATTTTAATAGGCATTAAAATGCTAATAACATTCTTATAGGAATGCCACCAGATCTTTTAAATTATTTTTCTGGGGTTCCTTGAAGGGTCCTCCACCACGTAGTGAAGAGCTTTTACGCTATTTTCTGGACACCCTATATTGCATTTGTAATATATATTGTATAAACCTGGAACCATTATCGATTTTAATAAACTTTTAAAACAAAATTAAATGGTATAAATTTTGTTAATTATTTGTTCATAGTTATGTACATGTTTCTTTTGAATGCATCAGGTTTAAAATTCTTAAGTGAAGTAGATATGTACCTAATCAGTCCACCGACCGACCACGGTTTAACCCTCACACGCCCCAATAAAAACCAAAATTCAGGTAAATGGGTTTTTGGAAACGGCACAATTTTAGCTTATTGAATCCCAGCTATATTTTCAGATTAATAAAATGAAATTACTCTTTGTTTACATATCGGAAATGAGGTTAAATTCATGGAGAATAGAGATCGATGGGTTATCGAATCCTTATCGATATGTCACTTTGAGAACACAATTCGTAGAGAAAATTCGTGAAATCATCAACCACATGGCAACACTGGAAGAAAGCAGCCAATAGAAAATCTAGGCGCGTGACGTCACCATCCTAGAAATTTTGAATTTCAAATGAAAATTTAAGGCCTTTCCCGGTACCAAAAAAATCCGAAAAAAATATTTCTGGGCTTTATTTTGATTACCCTTTCAGATAAGCCAATAAAAAAAATCGTGGGAAAGACCCATTTCAATTGAAAACATTCGTGCTTCTTCAATCTTTGAACATCGGATTTTTTTTAATCAGATTGCCTAATATTGAAATTATTTTATTTAATGTAGTTTTGGGAATGAAGGTTTAAAAATGCCCAGGTCTTTGCTTTGCACCGCTCTTATGTATGTTTTAACTTTTTGAATCAGGAAATTTCGTGGCTCAATTTAGGATAATAAAATAATAAATAGCGGGGATACGGCAAATTTTTATTTTAAGAAATAGTATATTGTGTATTTAGGTGGAAAAGTGACACATTCTCGGCCGACGGTGTAAGTTGACAGGCCGGCAAACACCGAAGGCCGAGAATGTAATTTTCTACCGAAATACACATACTATTTTTTCTGCGATCGGTTAAATATCTGTTAAATGTTTGTCTTTTTGTTCGAATTATTCAGCAGTACGATAATCACTTTCCCGGCCTAGGCCGGAAAAGTGTTTCCAGTATTGTTATTTATTGATTCCTTTGCAACTATTGAAACATAATTGAAACACCAGAATATTGAGTTTTGCGACCTGTCAGTCGGTCAAAAATGCTGACATTTCTTGTCAATCGCAGAAAGAAACTCTTTTTTCGTAAAAGCTTTCACAATGTTTTAATTCCTTCTTCAGTTACAAAAGTTGACTTAAATATATCTATATCTATACATTAAGAAAACGCGCCCACAATTAAAAAGGAAATTAGATTCCATGAACCCTGGGCAACTAAAGGCCATTAGAGAAGTTGTTTATAACTTTTACTTGATAGAAAAAAGAACACCGACTTTTAAATGTGAGTAGTTTTTAATATTTATTTGTTTCGACGCATAATTTATTATTTCAAATAGATAGCTTATATTATAACAATGTTTTATTTCTTACAGTGATTTTGAAGAAAATCAAAGATCAGGCAATTATTCATGAAGAATTAAGTGTTTCATCTCTAGGAAGACTTCTGAAAAAAATTGAATTTAGGTATGTATGAATTTGTCTAAAAATTGTATTGGTAATTTAGGTAATAATTTTCACAAACTTTTCAATATGCATACCTTCAATTTTATAGATCAACAAAAACCGACGATAATAGAAAGGCACTTATGGAAAAGCATGATACTAAGCTAAAAAGAATCAAGTATTTGAAACAAATTACAGAGTACAGAAAGTAAAATTGGCCTATTATTTACACTGATGAAACATATATACACAGTAGTCACACTTTCCGATAAAGGATGGTTTGATGACAGCTCAAAAGGCATTCGAAAGCCTATTTCAAAGGGACAACGTCTAATTTTTCTTCACGCTGGTGGCGAGGGAGGATGGTCTACTTATATTCCGTTCAGGTGAGATTATTCGAAATAATCATTCATATTAATATTAGGGTTGGACAATTAACAATAGTTTATAGTCATTCAAAAAAATCTAAAGTTCTTTATCTCTTCGTGAAATTAGTGAATTTCACCAAGAGGATAAAAATTAAAGATTTTTTTGGAATGTGTTGTTGATTATGTGATTATTATACTGATTACATATTATTATTTTTATTTAATTTTAGGTTCAGAAAGTGGTGATTATCATGATGACATGAACCATTTCAATTTCATGAAATGGGTTAAGCAACAATTTATTCCCAACTTGCCTGATAGATCAGTATTGGTATTTGATAATGCTTCCTACCATAATGTCGCTGTCAAGAAAAGCATCACATCCGCCACAAAAAAACAGGATATGGTTGACTGGTTAAAAGAAAAAAACATTGAATTTGGTGAGCGATTAACCAAACCAAAACTATACGAAATAATATCCAAAAACAAGGAAAAATATCTTACATCGTGCAAGCTGGATGTATTAATGGAGAGCCATGGACATTCTGTTTTGCGCTTACCACCTAACCATCCGGAACTTAATGCCATCGAAAAAATCTGTGCATCCGTGAAAAATTGGGTGGCAACCAGAAATACCACATTTTATGAAGTAGCCGATTTAGAAGCCTGGCCCGAAAAGAGTTCATTGAAAAGCCACAGGAATGGAAAAACATTTGCAGACACGTCAAAGATCACGAACACAAACTTATTGAGAGGGAGTACATTTTCGACGAAGCATTAGAACAATTCAAATTTGTCGTAAACACAGGCTTCTCGGAAGAATTTGTTTCTGACATTAGTTTTAGTTGTAACAGCAGAATCATGTCAGGTTCTATCTACTCCACTCTTACAAGGAGACTCAGAATCGGACTCTGAATGACTAAATCGAATCAAATCAAATATGCATAATAAACTTAATCTAGAATAGTCTTCAACTAAATATATTAACGTTTTTATTGAACTTTGCATGTTTTTATTTCATTTGATTTTAAATTCCTAAATTAATATGTAGGTAGGTAACTACCTACTTGAATAAAATAACATGCCTTTTGTTCGACTCCAACTGATTATGGAACAAATTTCTAGAAAAATCGATTTTTAATGCAACACTACTTAAATCAAAATTATTATTTGTTCTTTATTCGTAATTAGATGTCTAGACGATACCTTAGAAGTGGTTTATAATTTTTGAAACAGTCAATTATAAAACGAAAATTAAGTAAATCAAAATTATTATTGTTTACCTATATGGATATTATTTGTATATACATGTCTACGACACGCCGCCTATTGTTCTTAATGACGACACACCAGTGAGAGGAACTCAAGAGAAAGAGGTCCGACCCACTCCACGCAACACAAAATGTTAGTAAAAGACGCGTCTTCCATATAGAGTGTAAGTACTTTTTATACCATTTTACGCAAAAAATTACCCTTTAACTGTTTGAAAACTGAATTTGAATAAATGGACCCTAGTAGGCCTAGGTACAGTAAGACACCCTTAAGGAATGCGGCCAGTGCAACAAAGGACTCGCAGCTATTCAGTCAGTGTGGGAGTAGGTTCAATATTCAAAGTTAGCTTTATAGGGCGCCACTGGTTAACAAAATAAAATTCGCGGACTTAAACCAGAAAGTCCCTGATCTCCAAAATTCCTCTAAAGATGTGCCCACCCGATGTACCTATCCTTTAAAAACAACTTTACCTTAGTTTGGTTGAGGTCAATAAGGGTAAAATAAAAGTCAAATATAAAGACAATGATTCTAATTCTATTTAATATGGCATGAGGCGGAGGGAGGGGGGGGGTATGATCAGACTTGCAATTGCATTTCAGAGGCCAATAGAAGGTAATATCAAAGTATATTAATAAATGTAATTGTCAAAATTACCTGAAAGGTAACAAGGGCAAAAACAACCCAATAAATTCAAGATTTACCAATAAATGTTTGACCACCTTACTTCAGTGAAAGTAAAAGAGAACAAATAATTAATAATAT